ATGAGTACAGAGGTAGACGTAAATTAGAAATGTTTTATTACATAGGTTCGATTACTTTAGCTTCAATTCTATCATTGCTTCCGTTCTCCGATAACATGTATGGTTGGGATGCGCCTGAAGGGTAAGTTTTTACATCTAGTCATTAATTTACATTTACTAAAACATCATCATTAATTTAATTATATAATTTTTATTTCATATTAGAGCATGCTTTTTCCGTGACTCGGGTACAAGATTGAGTATTGTATGGCAATGGTCAGCATTCTATTCTTGGGAATTACTTTGTATATTATATTGTATAATAACAATAATGTGTGTTACGGTGAAATTATACAAAGTGTCAAACCAATCAGTAAGCACTAATATTAGTGGTCAAACAATAACAAGTAGATATGATAAGAATGTTTTAAGGAACAAGGCCATCATATCATTAGTAGTTAAAAAGGTTATATGGTATCCTGTTGTGCCTATAATAACTCAGGGACCAAATTTTTTAGTTGAAACTGACATTTATGTTAACCAGAGAATCAATTATGTATTTTTAATACTGTCTACTCTCCTCTCATTTCAAGGTAATTAACTTATAACAAAGTCATGATTTAACAATTTATTATTAAATATTTAATGATTTTTTTCTTTAGGTTTTCTCAATACCATAGTATTTATGCAAGATCTCGCGGTTTCCAGAGCTTATAAATTAACGAAATTAAACTGGTGGTGTAATCACGTTAATAAATACGAAGAGTTATATCCTCATTTATCACGTAATAAAGCGTTTGATCCATTAGAATCGATTGATCGGGTTGATCATGAATTAAAAGATGAACAGCAGAGAGAAAGTCAGCAACAACCTTCCCTTGCCGAAAAATTACGATACAATTTGTTAACCTTATTATTTAGTAAACCAAAAGGAGATGAAGAGTTGATTGAATACGATCAATATGTGACGACAAGAGATGAAGAAGAAACGGATTTCACACAATCAATAAATGAAAAATCTGGTAGTGATACAACAACAGTAAATGATGACGATTATTCGCTGGAAGAATTTAATAAAACTGTATTATGCAAATTGTAAGATATTAAGTAATTTTATATAAATAATAAACAAAATATTTATGATTCTTTTTTTTTTTATAAAAGTAAACTGATTTTTGTCGTAAAATGGTTTTCGTCATGGTTGTGTAAATGAGTGAGCTCCAAGTAACTAAAATATTTATTATTATTTAGAGGATCTAGATTTGCTCAAACCGAGTTGAATCCGATTCTACAACTACTTTGAGTTACTGAAAATTAATTATGTACACTCTATAGATATACAAATAATGATAATAGCAATAAGGGTACCCGTGAATACGTTATCAGATGAACCAAAAACCGGAATGGGTAGGTAATATGACAATCCTGCTTCGCATTAAAAAATACTCTTATTTTTTTGTACTTGGTAAATCCTGCCTGACTTCATTGAAATCATTTCTGATATTTTATATGTAAAATGTTCTTTATCAGAATCCCACTAAGATTGATATGAAGTAATATTGTTCATGCATATTTTACTAGCCTTTCTATTTATTTAATTTGGTTCTGTAATACCGGTTACATATAAATTGTCAGTTATATTTAATATTAGGATTTATTCTGATTAGTGTTTAACTACACCTTGACACTATTTTTGCATTGGTTTTCAAACAGGTTAGAATTTTATTTATTTTTCATTCATTCGTTTTAACTCTTTGATTTCTGAAATAAGGGATTCATTACTTGGTTCATCTTTTTCGTGTATATTTGATACAGAAAGAATATTTTCCTTTTTTTTTTTTTGTGTGTGTGTGTGTGTTAACTTTAAATGGGTTACTTTGAACTTTATGTTCGTTCAGTTGTTTTAAGTTGAGTTGCTGTATTTGACAAATTCGTACTAACCTTAGTTTCTAACGCTTTTACTTTTTTTTGCCTCCTTTATATCTAATGTTATTTTTTTTTTAAATTTATTTGTATGTTTTTTTCATGATTTCTGTCTCATTTTTTCTAATAATTTTTTGTTTAACAATCTTTGGAAAATTTCTGCAATGATCACTATTACAGTCTAAGCTCTCTATACCGAACCTCTCTGTAATAGTAATGAATAAAAGCAGAAAAATTATATATAAGGTACAGGGGGTTCGGCATAGAGGGCTTAGACTTCACTGTTTAAAATAAATAACAAGCCTACAACTGTCAAAATAAAAAAAAGACAAAACAATAGTCTATTTTATTAAATTCGAAACATATAAATAGGACAGCCGCCTCCACATTTTTTTTTCGTAACAGAAACGTAGAGATATTCCTCTCAGGCAATTTCAGCACATGTAACTGAAGAGCCAACCAAGGAAATTGTTTGGTCACAACCAAAGAAATACGAATTACAATGTTGAAATAGATAATTAATTGAATGAAATGATAACTCCAATTCAACCTGAAAGAGTTGATGTTTATCAATGGTGGAAGAACAATCCGAACTCTTTTCTCATTCTTAGCAGAATTGCATGCAAATACTTATCAATCCCTGCTACCTCTGTTCCATGTAAACATCTTTTTTTTTGATGCAAGAAATTTGGTTACCTCTAAAAGAACATGTTGTTTACGGCATGAAGTAATGAATCAGTTATTGTTTTTTTTAAAAAATAATTTATATTGTAAAGTTTGGACTAATAAATATAAAAATTATTTTTATTGTGTATGTAATATTAAGCCCATATATAAAAAAGGATCCGTCAACCAACCGGTTGACCCGTAGATTTGACTGATTATGATAGGCGATCCGGGTAAAGTTTTTTGACGGGTCTAATCTAGATGTTAGAAATCTGTTTTCGATTCATTCATTATGTCGTGATTTTTTGTAACCTATCTGATTGTTTTAATATTAAAAAATTCTTGTTTCAACAGGATTTAAGTGATGTTAATATTAATATACCGTTACTACTAATACAGGTTTATATTTTTTCCAAATTTAAAAAAATCAATATATACATTACTATATATATTAACTATATTAATATTAATATGAATTAATTTCCGGATTTGTTGGATCATTCAAAAATGCTAACACTAATTAGGGTTACGCACAGTCTTTGGTAAATGGAATAAATCACGTATGCAAACAGGTTTTTTTTTTAATGGTTTTATTTATTATAGTAATGATCGCACACAATGCAATACATTAAAGTAGCCTGTTTTGCGAACTTTAATACTGAATTTGAATTTTCTAGAGCAAGATTTTCACATATGTTTACTTTGAGTGGTATTACAGTGAATCTTTCTTTCAATAAGAAATGTATTTATACAAGTGGAATTTACTGACAAAATTTATTTGTTTATTTTTATCAAAGGAGTCATGATGATTATTTAAAAATAATCATCATCACAAACAAACCTAAACCAATCGATTGGAAATGATAAGATAATCATTTATTGGAACCAGAATTAAAATTAAAATGTTAAGGAGAAAGCAAACAAAACTGATCTAGGTAAATATTTCCTGTTCTTTACTTGTCTCTATTTTTATTCTAACGGATTTTTGATCCGCAGATCTAGTAAAATTTTATAATTGAATTCCTTCACACCCTCGTTTGACAAAAAAATTTTTTTACTATAAGAAAAAATTGTTCTTTATTACAAAAAAAAAAATTTTTTTTTGGTTGAGATTATTTCTTTTTAATAAGCAAATTTCTCTTTTTTGTTCAGCTGTAATAAAGTTTCACTTTTTAGATGACAATGGCTGTGACTTTGTTTTTTTTTTAATACATAACCACCCAAACAACAAGACTTGTATTTGCACCTTTTAGAATTTCATAAAAATATTTAAATCACAAACAATCATACATTTTATTACAATTTTAAACTGCAGGAATAATGTTTTATTATAATTTCTAAATCATGGAAAATAATCATATATTTTTATTACAATTTTTAAATCATATATATTTTATTACAATTATAAAACATGAAAGTAATCATGCAATCTTTCGAGTTATTGACAATGTTTTTTATTACAACGATAAATTGTATGATTCTTTTAATCATACGATTTTTAACGCATTTTTATTGGTCATTTATCACGTGAATTCGTTGTAACGCGATTAGTAACTAATAAATTCGATGTAACAAAAGTTTTTTATTATTAAAAAAAAACAATTTTTTTCAAAATTCGTTATGACAAAATTCGTTATGGCAAGGTTCACTGTATAACTTTTTTGTCATATGTATCTGCTTTATGAAAATTTTTAAAGCAGGTTGTTAATAAAACCGAAAATAATCTGACCTTCAAATTAAATTTTGCCTTTATATTCATATACGTAAAAATTTGTTTGACGCATCCAATTGCAAATATAAGTAGAAATGAATGTTCAAATATTACATTATTATGAGTATTTACAGATTTTTGATCATTTATAGATAATTTATTTTTGTCTCTGACTTTATTCATTATTTATTTATCATAGTGATGTTATAAATATAAGTTAAAATAAAAAAGAAATTTATACACATAAATAAATAATAAATATAAATATTGATAAAATGTTCGTTAGAATATTTTGCAAGCTTCCTTAACGCTTATACAAACTATTGAATAATTGATAAAACCTTCGTTATTATATTTTGTTCATAGATCTTGTCCTTAAAGCTTACTTCGATTACTCCTACACAAACTATTGAATAATTGATAAGACGTTCGTTAGTATATTTTATTCATAGGTTTTGTCCTTAAAGCTTGCTTCGATTACTCCTACACAAAATATTGAATAATTGATAAGACGTTTCGTTAGTATATTTCGTTCAGATCTTGTCCTTAGTGTTTGTAGGAATTATTCGGACATTATCTGAATATCATGAATATCATAGTTAATCTTACTAAAAAAGGAAAAAAATATAATAAATAAATAAAAAGGGTTTTTTTTACTTTTTAACATTAGTACTATATTGTATGCACCTGTGTTTGTTTATTTTTTATATTTAAGAAACTAAGGAAATTGTTTATTCATTCATCCCACTTTATTTTGTTAAGAATCTATGTGTGTTATTTTGGTTAATATTGAAAAATTAGCATTTTTAAAATGAAATTCATGAGAAATTAATGTATTCAGTTAAATGTTTAAATATTTTATTGGATATTTATTTGTATCTCTTTTTTTTTTATGATATTCATAATATTCGAATATCATAACATGAAATACAAAAACTGGGTTTAAGTGAAAATTATAAACCTGTATGGTGTGGGGCCACAAACTTAAAAAAAAAAAAAAATTTCTTCAAAATATTTTTGAGATTTGTTGGATGCAAGAGCATTGGGCGTGCATATAAGTAACACTAAACTAATTTAGTAAGTATATCAATTAGGGTACACACTCAGCCCTTGGTAAACGAAAGACAATGTAATAAAACATGCATCAATTACATCCAATCGCGCCATGCATGCAAATGGGGGTTTTTTTTATGGTTTTACCATCTACCTACTTATCATAGTAATGATCGTGTACAATGAGATTTTTTAATACAATTAGAGTAACCTGTTAATGCGAACCTAAATACTGGATTTGAATTCCTAAAGCAAAGTTTTCTACATATGTTTGTTTACTCTTTAGATGGTATCACAGTAATTCATTCAACGTTTTAAGAAATATAGTTTATGCCAAGTAGAATTTGCTGACAAATTTAAAAGTAACTATCATCACAAACAAAACTTAAACCAATCAATTGAGAATGATAAGGGAATCAATCGTCTATTGAAACAGGAACTAAAATTAAAACGTTAGGAAGCAAATAAACAAAACTGATCTAATAAATACCTCCTGTTTTTTACTTTATCCCATTTTTATTCCAACGGATTTTTGATCTAATAAAGTAATTTTTTTTTACTTTTCAATATAATAAACAATCAATAACATTGACTTTTCCTCTTCCTCTTCTTCTTTTCTTATTAATTAGGCTATAGAAAATGTCGGATACAGTATCAAATGACACAGAAACTGTTACATTTGCAGTAACTGATGAACAAGGGAAGACGGTTCTTCTGCTCTTATTAATTCAAAGCACAGCATCATTGATTGCAACTACATTCGGAATTTC